ATTCTGGGACTGCGGCTGCATGCCTTTTCCTCATTTTCCATGACGCGGCACGCAGCGTGAAAATGCTGCTCTCCCCACCCTCCGGCACAGAGTTTAGTATTTGTTTTCCTTATGTTTATGGCTTGGAAAACGGTTCGATGCCTCATTTTTCTTGTAGCTATAGTTTTTGCTGTTTCGCTATTTAGGGCTGAAAGTGAAATTTCAAAATGTTGTTTATGTTTGCTTTTAGCGGGAAATTCCTCGACGGTTGGGGAGGGGGCCTAAAAGGGAGCTAGGGAAAAAAGCCTTATCCGATGCACCATTTTATGATGTGTTTTTAAATGTTTTCATTATTAAACGTTTCAATGAGAAAATAAATTTCTTCATTTACTAGGTCATGGAGTACTTTATGAAGTCTTCTAGAAAAAGAGTTCTCTGGCAACACCACTGAAGTTCTTTAACATATGCTTATTTGAGTTTCAAAATATATATTCTTGTTTTTGTATTTATACGGACTGGAAGTAAAGTAAATATAAGCCACAACTTTGTTTTTCTTCAGTGTCCAGGAATTTACCATGGAAATGCTGGGCACATCTCTCACTTAATTGGAAAATTCTTTACCAAAGTTGCCCAGGGCTGTCATTAATCCGAAAATCGTCAAATTCACTGACCTCTCCCGAACCCAACACCGAAACACAGATTGCCTCCAGAATTGAGTGACAAATGCAGGCACATTCAGAGACAGAGAGCCAAATCAAAAGCAATGTCATTTATAATCGTTGTGACTGACCATCCCCAGTCCCAGTACCATTCCCTTTCCCATTTCCATTCTCAGTCCAGTTCCAGTCCCTGCCCCATCCAGCATTTTCCCCCTCGTGTATTCTCACACATTGCGCCAGGGAAACGGAGAGACAATGAGAACAGCAATTTCCATTTAACGATGGCTGGACATGGCACCGAAACTAGAACTAAAACAATTTAAATCATTTATGATTTATGCCTAGTGCGAACTAAATCTAAATTAATACAAATCTCGGCGAGAACGTCGAGTTCTCTTGGGAATTTCGGAATTCGGGTTAGCCGGGAGGCGAGGGGATGACCAGCTTTTGTGAGAAAGGATTTATCTCGATTCGGAGGGAATGAATGGAGGAGCATGAATGCCGATGCTGCAATCTCATGAGGAAGTCGACAATTAACCAAACCAAATCCAAGTGGAAAACTGGCCTCAAATTAAAAGATATATGCGCATTATTAAGTTACAGTTGACATAATTAAATGATAATTGTTATGGTATGTATCCACACATACAAATGCACTTTTTGAGTTATTTGCTGTTTGTTTGCCTTTCGAGGGGGAGGGTTAATTTGTGTGTCGTCCGGTGGCCCCTCGACCCCCTTAACCTCCTCGACCCCTCCCTTAACCCATTGCGTTCCGCTTCTCGTGGCCGCAGTCCATTTAATCCCGCATTTATATTTTTGTGTTCGCCTTTCGTTGATTTATGTCTCTTGCTAAAATAAAAAAAACACACAAAAAATGTCACCATCAGCGGTTGGCATTTATTCAAATTGTCTCTCCCCAAAATGTGTGGCCATCCCCTCTGCATTTTACCACTCTCCACACATCATCATAAAAATCCAGCGAGCTTGGGCTAAATTCACTTATAAGAACATTTTTGATGAATTATTTGGGAATGTATGGGGGCTCTTCTTTTACACCCATACTTGGAAATTAACAAAACGGGGTTTCTGGGAAACAGTTTAGCTATAAACAGTATATCTCTTACTCAAAGAAAAACGAAATGTCCAAAATGTCAATAATGGCATATAATATTATACAAAATATTTATTATGGAGAAAGGTTTAATTTATTTTTACAAAACAAATTTTCGGCTAAAATGCTCAAATCCCCAATATGAGCAAGCTTTGAACAAATAACTCATTTAATCTTTGAGATAACTCAATCTAGGATTTATAGCTCTAACTCTATTCCAACCGAATGAAACCAGAATCCACAGCTGCCCACTCTCAGCCCACAAAGCGTTAGTTTTAATCAATTAATTAGTGGCAAAATCCTAGGCAGCCGCCGATTTGCGGTGGGTCAAACCACAGCCCCACGACTGCGGATCGGGCAGTTCCATTCGAAATGTGGATGCTGCGACGACAATTAGCGCAATGTTTGACTCGGTTCGCGGTGGCTAACAATTAAAACATTGTGTTTCAAGCGAAATTTAAGGCAAAATTCGAAACGAACAAATCGAAATCGAATTGGCAGTGGAGGGGGAAGTGAAAGTGGAAGTGAAAATGCCAGCCAAGGGCAGTTGTCGCCTCTTTAGCTGCGTTTCGGGGCAGCACAGGGAGGAGGAGTCGGAGGAGGACTATGTGGACATGGAGATGAGTGAGTTTTCGTTCTCCGCCGTGATGCAGCTGCACGATGCGAGGTCCATTAAATTGTGATCGATCACAGCCGAAAACACTGAGTATTTGCAAATTGCAAAATGCGAGACAAAGCAGCACAGAGATGATGAACAAAGGGAGCATTTTGTCTTCTCCAAAGGAGGAGAAGCGATTTAACAATTACCAGATGTTCCTGCACTCAGCCCATCCAATCGGAATCGGAATATATAGTCCACGGCATTCGGCTGAGGGAAGCAACTCAATGTCAGACTGCGCTTTTCCCATCTCTCTGCCATTTTCAACAGCCGCGTCGCTGTCGCAAAACTGTCGTCTGCCATGTAATTGAGAAATAAATTTCAATGCAGCCGCAGCGGCAGCCTCCGCCGTCCCAAAATCAAAGTTTGCAAACTGAAACGAAACAAAAGCCATTAAGGCCAAAGTCGGCGGAGGAGCGAGGCCGAGCAGGATCAACAACTCAAAACAATAGCTAGCTCTGGGGTGGAAAGCAGTTCACTTAAAATCAAATATTTATAAAGTATTTTGAGCTCAATTTTGTAAATCAAATTTGTCGCCCTCAAATTGTTCTGCATCCAGTGTAAGGTATTTTAGCAACTATGCTGATAAAAAAAAACAAAAAACAAACTTTCATTGCAATTTGAAGATAATTTAATTCCACCACATTTGCAAAATATAATCATTATATTTTTTTATTTTTTTAATATTTTAAATACTTCTAAAAAAGACTTAATTGCCACAGTGTATACAAAATATCATAATTTAAATGCAACTTCAGAAAACCACCTTTCAAACTGAAAAAATGGTTAAAATAAACCATAAGAACGTTAATATTGCAAATATATTTTCGACAGCAGCCACTCACTAATATCAGTAACCATTTCCTGAACTCCCAGCGTTGAAGAAATTATTATATTATATTAATATATTGCTCTCAAGAAAAATCCTAATACTTTTGCCATTTTTTTAAGATAGCTCGTATTAAGAAATGTTTTGCAATTTTCTAAGACATCTTGTGTTTTTATAGATTTTTTTTCTGTGTGCGTGGACTTGATAAAGTTTTATTCGGTCACAGTAATTAATCATTGAAAAGGGCCAAAGCAAAGCTTTCGGAAACTACCCACAGTTCCACTTAATTATGTTGTCAGGGTTCTTTTAGACGGCATCAAATAAAATTTGACAACATTTTGCATATGCAAAGAAGCAGAAATGGGAAGAGGCAAAATATATCCAGTTGTGGCCCCTCTTATTTTTGTATTTCCACATCGTATATAGTATAGTGGAGTTCCAGCTCCTTTGCCTCATAATGAGCAGCAGCTGCAGGGTGGGGAATGGCAATATCAGGCAGGAAAAACAGAAAACAGAGAAACGGAAGGCAAAGCGTAACAGGCGACAGCAGGAAAGAGCAAAAAATACAGATACTTCTTCTGCTGACGTCGCCGCCATTTGTGGGTGTCAAGAAGTTCAGATTCTGGCAAATGCAACAGTGGATTTCTGTTTGGCCAGGAGACAGCATCGCTCTGTCTCCACTTTTCATGTGCGTGTGTGCTTGTGAGTTTTGCTCCGAGGAGATTTATTTAAATGCGCTAAACGTGACTGAATTTATGGGGCAGCGGCAACCTGAAGCTGGCGCAGGGAAAATGTCGCCGGGACAACAACTGATTAGTCCGGCCTAATTTATTTGGCTAAAACGGGAATATGTGCCCCCCACCCCCTTACCTCATCCGAAATTTATGTTGTTTTATTTAGTTTCATCTGAAGATCTTTTGTTTTCCATCCACTAAAATCCAAATCCAACTATGTATCTTCGGTCAGTCGCGATGAGGTTGTCACTGCGGAATGTGGATGTGTGGAAAGTGCAAGAGATTCCATCTACAAATTCCTAAGATATTAAGCAAGTTACAACATACTGATCCAAACATTATTCTTTGGGATTAAGATTGTGAGTGAGTGTTAAGTATTTCAAAAAAGTGATGATGTAAGAATGATTAAGTCCATCGTGTCAACGAAACGTCGTAAAATAAATAGTATTTATATTTCTTAGAATTCTTATCTAAGTCATAAGCTTCCCAAAAAAAATGAAATACAAAATTTTATAATTAATATTAAAAAAAAAAACTCTTTTAGAAATATACCGTAGATTTGTATACTTGTTTATTATCTCTGAATCTGACTTCGCCATCAATACAATTCCTAAATACCTGACCCTATAGAGATAAGCTACAATTTCGATTCAGGTGACACAGTGCCTCACTCAGGTATACACACACGTTCCCTTGATTATAATTATCGCACTTTGAATAATAGCGGCGCTTAAAGAGCCCAAAAAGTCAAATTCCCCGAAGGAAAGCCAAACAAAAGTGTTCCGGGAGTGGGGACTATTTGAAGAGGTCACAAATCAGACTGGTCGAATCCTAAGTAAACACATTATTTATCACAGACACACTCACTGTACATATATATATATTTTTGAGCACATATGCGAGTGGAGATTATTCAGGGGGTCGCAATGGGCCAGTGGTTGCTTATCAGCAACTCCTCCGGGACGGAGTTATTCCAGTTTTCGAGGCATTTTCACTGACCGTCCCACGATCTGTTCCGCTCATTTTGCAGACAACTGCGGCAACGTGAACAACGCGAGTGGAGCGATTGCATCCGGCTTCCTGGGCTCCGGCTTCAACATGGACGACATCCTGATCATCACCGCCAAGCACAGCGAGCGCGCCTATCTGCGGGCCACTTACCTGAAGAACCACTTCGACAAGATCACCAAGCAGCGCGGACGAAAACCATTCAAGTAAGTTTGCAAAAAGTTCATAGAATTTAGAAAATAAGTGCAGAAAATAAGAAAAAGTATAAATATTAAATCAGAGTTTATTTGCTTGCTTAACTCGAGGTCATGGTTAATTCATATTTTTTAAAATTTTTTACTAAAAAGTGAATCAGACTTTGATAGGACTAGTTAGTTCATCCACACATCACCTCAGGTTTCTCAGCAATCGTTGGTGAACGACAAAAGTTTTGATTATTATATACTATTTAATTATTTGGAAAACTTTTGAAGTTTGAAGAGTGTATAAATAGTGGATGTTAATAAAATTTGCAATCTTTTTCTTCCTTAGTTTTCTGCACATCAAAATTGACGATGGTCCCTTCAGCGAGGAGATTGCCCAAAAGTACCAGAACACAGCGCTGCAGATCGTGATCCTGTGTCCCGCCCTGCTGGCGCTCCCCCACAGTTTCCTGATGACCCAGCTGTCGGCCATCATTCGGGTGGAGAAGGTGCTGGCCATCCTGCTGGACGTGGCCGAGGAGAAGGTGAAGGAGATGCACAAGTCGGCGCTGCCCAGCTACTACAAGTGGCGGCGCTGTGTGGTGCGGGACAACGACCAGGTGCAGATCAGCAACATCCTGGGCATAGCCACCGATATCCTGGGACGAGCCCTGTGCCAGCGACCGCCCTGCCAGGACAACTCTGGCGGAGGAGGCGGTGGCGGCCTGTCGCGCAGCTTCTCCAGCTGCACCGAGGGCTTTACTGTGCTGCCCAAGAAGGTGAAGCTGGGCCAGAACAAGGTGGTGGCCTTGCTGGCCGATCCGCTGGAGAAGAACGACACGCTGAAGCTACTGGTGGAGAAGTCCGGCGAACTGATCGAGCTGCGCAACTTCAAGTGCCGCAATCCCTACACCCTGCAGTTCTCCATACCCGAAGCCTGCATGGAGATCTCCACCATGATCGAGATCCGGATCGAGAAGAACAACAAGAGTCTGGGTGCCAGGCCCATCAAGTGCGAAAGTCGTCTGCGGGAGCTGGAACAGCTTCTACGCATCGAGGACTGCCCGATTGAGTTTATGTGCCATGCCCTGGGCATCGGACCTGTGGAGCGGGATGCCCTCGACCAGCACTTGCTGCAGTGCTTCCAGCGAAACATGCCGCCCAATTTCCACCTGCTGAGCGGTCCCAGCGAGCGGCAGCCGCACTTCTTCACCCGGCTGGAGTCCAGTCCGGAGGAGTATCCCACCCTGCTGCACTTTGCCGCCCGGTGGGGCCTCAATCGCCTGTGCATCCAGCTGATGGAATGCCCCGGTGGCGACACCGCCTGCGGCGTGAGAAATTGCGCCGGACGCACTCCCGCGGAGTTGGCCGAGCAGGAGGGCCACAGCAAGCTGGCCCAGAACATTGTCAGCTTCGCGGAGTTCCACGAACTGACCACCATGTACCACTACTTCAAGGGGGTGACTCCGCCGGGCGACGCTAGCCCCAGGCCCAGTGCCAATGTGGTGATCGAGGCCCATCCCGGCAAGGGAAAGTCCAACAAGCCGCCAAAGCAACTGCCCTCGGCGGAGTACATGGAGATGTCCAGCGGCTCGGAGCGCGAGAACACACCCGAAGTGAGGCCCAAAACGGAGACCCTTGCTGTCTCGAATCTCAACTACATAAGTGTGGAAACGGAGGATGAAAATCTGCAGGCTTCCGTGGCCGAAAAGAAGGTGGAGTCCGAGAAGAAACTGCCCGAAGCAGGCGCTCAACCGGGACCCGAAAAGACCACCAACGAGTTGAGGATCAACGAGCCACCCTACTACCAGTCCAAAGAGCAGAATCACCAGCCAAGGGAGCCGATCAAATCCCTGGACGAAGTGGATGCTGCACCACTCTACCAGACCGACAAATTCAGCCAGGAGTGCTCGCAGCTGCTGGAGAACCAGCTGGGCAACGACTACGTGCTGCAGCCCTCCAATGTGCCAGTGGTCCAGGACGATGGCAACTACCTGTTCCAGCCCTCGAACCGACCCGTTGAGGAGCCCCTCCGGCTGGGCCGCTGCACCGCCCGACAGCCCGGCTATGGGACCCTCAAGCGCAGTGCCAGCGACGCCTCCGCCGCCAGTCACAGCCGATCCAATGCCGACGACGAGCTGGCCGAGATCATGCACGACTTCAAGAACAACGTGCTCTCCATCCGCGATGTGGAGCTGCTAGTGGAGCGCTGGAAGCACCGCAACGATGTGCAACAGAGCTTCCGGGAGAAGCAGGATCAGATCGACCAGCTGCGTCGCGAGTACGAGCGCATCCAGGAGCAGGTGAAGTCGCACCTGAAGCGCGAAACGCCCTTCGAGCGCATCAAGAAGTTCTTCTCGCGTTCGAAGACGCCGGGTGGCAACGACAGCCTGCTGGACGAGACCAAGTCCTCGATAGCCACCAGCTGTAGCTTTAAGTCGGGTGGCGGCGTGAGCTCCACCGTGGGTGCAGGACGTCCCATTAGCTCGCTGAGTTTGCAGAGTGTGTCCAGTTCGAGTTCCTCGTCCGGCAGACTGAGCACCGGCAGCAATTGCAGTGGCGCCTCGCTGGGCGACTCGGGCACCCACTCGGATCACGAGGATCGCCGCTTCCCGCACTGCCGCATGATGGACAACTACTTGGTGCCGCCGCCACCGAGACCCGTCTTCACGCCCAGCTCAACGCCCGGTGACGAGCGCCACCAGATTGTGTTCCCCTCGCCCATGTCCAGTTGCCAGCGTTTGAACACACCCACCAGTCCCACAGGATCCGAGCACTACCAGATGTTCCCCTCGAATATCCCGGTGTACGGCAGCCAGCCGCTGGCCAGTTCCCAGAGCAGCAGCTACCTGAACACCATCGTGGAGGCCAAGGAACAGGCGGAGACGCAGCACTACCAGAACCAGAGCGGCGTCACCCTGCAGCCCATCAAGCTGAACGAGCGGTCGAACATCATATACGGCAAGCTGACCAAGAGCAGCTCGGCCAGCGGATGCAGCTCCTTCAAGCCCAAGCAGATCCCAGTGCCCTGTCCCCAGGTGGGCAGCATCGAGGTCCAGGCGGAGGTCTACCAAAACGTGGGCGACATGGCCCCCGAGAAGGAGTCCAAGGCAGAGGAGGCGACGCCGAACTACATGAACTGCTAGGCCATCCAAAACGACATGCATCGAAATCGAAAGATTCGAAAGAAAGTTTAAGTGGAAAAATAACATATAAATTCCAATTTTGCCGAATTGTGATCGGAATTGGAATCTTTGATATTTGTTTAGTCTGTAAGCTCATCCATTTGCATACCAAATGAAAGGATGAAATGAGTATGAACTAGTTATCGGTATACTAATTAACTTCGTAAGTTGTTCGAAAGTGATTCTTAGGCCTTTGAAGTTTTGAAAAAACAGAATTTGAAGTTTTAATGCTGCAGAGGTCATAAGATCACCTACGATTATTTGTATTATCTCTGTAGTCTTCGGTTTCAGCATCTAATTGTACATTTGTGAAACGATTGCAAGCAACCAAATCAACATATCGCTAGCCACTAAGTTTAGATCCTAAATCGATACAAACGAACCAAGCAGCTGACATATAAAACTCAATTCATCCAACTCTAGGAATAACACATTTAGCGCTAAGATACCCACCTTTGGCATGCCGTTAAGCATGAAAAACTCGTTCATTCTACGCTCTTCACCCCACAAAGTTAAATGCAATAAATTTTTTTATATATAAGCAAAGTGAAACCTGTTTTCATTTGCCACGTGCGAAGGACGTGGTGTTTGGTTGTGGGTGGTTGGCTCACAGGATATGCGTTGTGGGAGGCCAAAGTGTCCGTGGCGCACAGGAAATCGTGCGAAAGCCCCTGAAACAGGCAAAATGGGATTGCAACTGCCAGCGTAAATTTCCCTTTTCGGAAACAAATGCAAGTTTGCATTCATGAAGAGCTGTTGACTGGAACGACTTTTCCGCGCTGCTGTTTAAATGATAGAAAAGGGAAATGGGAAAACTACAAAAATATTCAAATAAATAAAATGTTTGTAGCACACTTTTCCGCTGAATATCTAATGACCGCTTAGGGATTAACGCCAGTAGAAAAATAGCATTAATACAGCTTATGAAAGACAGAAATGGTCATTGCTTATGTATATTATCTTTTTAATACATGGTTTAAATTTTTGTTAAAACAATATTATTGTACGCTTGAAGACCAGACCAAAATTAAAATTCCTTAAATATATTTGCCTTATGAAAAATTATTTTAATTCCTGATTGTTAAGAAATCTAGTGATTTTTTTTAGTAAAAACAATATTATCATACGCTTGAAGTCCTTGAATATAATTCTTCTTAATAAACACATACTATGGATAAAATATTATCATGATATTGTGGATGTTAGGAAATAAAGTTAATTTTTTAAAGGTTTGAAATTTCAATTTCAAGTTTCAGCTTTGTTTTTCCATAAATACTATAGAGTTTCCGAAAGTGGCTGAAAAGAACGTGCATTTCACATGACAATATTTAATTTTCAGATTAAAAATCATTTCGCTGTTGACTTTTACTCGCCTCCCAAAAGCAGGCCACAAAAATGCTGAAATGCGAAATGAAAAACGTCATGGGACTAACCAGTAGCCAGCTTTTATCCGCCTTGGGATGCCACAAACATCCTGCACTCGAGGGCATACATGCATCCACATATTGTAGATTGAAAAAAAAACCATATATGTATATGCAAGGATTCGCACTAAGCCGGCATCTCTTAATTCACACTCAATGGGCCGCAAAAATCTCTTGCTCCGCTTTCGATGCGTACGCTCTGCATAGTATTTTTCCCAGCTGACTTACCGCTCACGTTACATGAACGCCCACTCCCACACAGACACCGTTACAGACACATTCCATACACACACAGCTACAGATACGAGAACAGATGCAGGGCCGCCAACATGGCCACAATCAGTCGGCCATCAGTCTCTGGCCTGCACCATTTCCGGATCCGCTCCGCTCAGTTGTTTGTTTTGTTTTCCTTCTGTAACGCAGCGAGAGCGAGAGAGCTTTTAAACTGAGGGAGCAGAGCTTTTAGGCAACTGAGAAATAAGAGTCACTTAGTTTAAAATACCACAAAAAAAAGGACTGGCATTTTCAGATACTAAAGTCATGAATATACAACTTAAGTCTGCTTATAAAATATTTTTAAGATTTATTTAATGTTTAATCCCAAAACTACAAGCTTGGAACTTTTTCATTTGGGAGCTATGCAAACAAGTTAAAATAAAAAACCTAGAGTACTTAAGATAACAATAATTAAAACATAACAAGCCAAGCTAGACAATAAATTAAATAAGTAAACATTGTTAATAAAAAAGCTTTGATAATGCGGTAAAAAATACATTTTTTGATTGATAAAACCCATAATTTACACGGAAAAAATAAACAAACTATGATTTGGATTTAAAGTAAAATTTAAATGCTGAGTTGTAGTAAATTACTATCTGAATAAAAATCTGTTGAGAGCACATGATACCCTTTCAGTTATAGAACACAGGGTACAATCAAAAGCGAGAGCAAAGCTAACTGGGAGAGCAAGCTGGCTGAAGAGAGCGGCAGAGAGACGAAAGCTCTACCTTGGGCAAGGTAAAAGCGAACAAGTGTGTATAAAAAGGACATTTCGTTCAGTCGTCGACTCTGTTAATTAAGCGCAACTGCGACGCAAAAAGGCGGAACGAATTTTACTTCATCGAAAAGAAAAAACGTTTCCACTTTCCGCTGTAAGAAAGTATTTAAAAATTTGGTTTTCTCGTTGAATAAATTACCAGAGAATGTGCATCTAAAAATTGGAAATAACCGCGTAATCAGTGAACCAAAATCGAAGTATTTGTGTTCTGTGTGCGTGCAAAGAAAACTCTTGCAAAAATTTTTGCAGCTTCAACTGCGTAGAAGCCAGGGAAAACACACGTTAATTAGTTTTTACCCACGCCGCAGAATCTTTGATTCGAGGAAAGTCCGGGGACCCAACGCTAATTAATCCTGGGACTTGCTGGCTTCGCAGCTCAGAAAAAATCCAGGAGACTGGAAATGCATTAAACAAGTGGACACGACTCCGCTCGTAAATTATTGAAGGTAGGAGAATGTGCCCTGTCAGCAGGCCCGTAAATTGTATGCCACAATTCCCCCCAATCCCCGCCATGAACAGGACGCATTAACCTTCGTCCTTGGCGGGAATTGTGTGCTCTTCTGGTTGGGATTTTTAAAAAATGTTAATTATTTATTTCTGCCACTCGAGTGCGGCACAGGTTGCCACATGAGAGTGCCGACTACTCGAAACTTTCTGCACAGCGAGGCATTTTTAATGATGTGCTAAACGATCAACTCGAGATTCTCCCCTCGCAATGCTGACTTTAACCCACTCGGTTTCATTTATAAACTATAAAATTACTTATATTAATAAAGATGTACTCCGTAAGTAATCATATACTTACATTAATAAGTTTTCACAAAGTATCATTCGTTAAAGCCTTATGTTGTTAACTACAAATAACAAATACCGCATCGATACCGCACTAAAATTATGTGTATATGTTTTATATGTTTTATATGTTACTTCTTTATAAAATCGGTAAGCTCTAAATAAGAAGAATCAATAAAATAATTTTTAATGTATAAGCGAGAACAGTTTTTAAAATCTATTACAATAAGGGGTTAAATGTCTCGAAATTGTAGTTAAAGATCACTAACCAAAAAATCTACAAATATGAAATTTTGCACTAGGTATTTAACCCACAATTCGGTAACTTAATGCATATAGTATTTTTCTGGTGCTGGTGTGTGACAATCGTTGCACTGGTTTTTGTTTCAGCCTCTTCTTGGCTTGTCACCAGCGTCTTTGGGTCGAGTTGGCGGGCACTCATAAATATTTCAAGTTGTCAAAGCAGTTCTAGTCCTGTGTGACTGAGAGAGTGTCCTTTTTATTTGCCAGTGTGTGAACAGCCACAACTTGTCAGCGTGTGTGGTGCACAAACACCAGCAAACAGCCAGCGTTTCCGCTTGGCTTTCTGTGTCAGCCAGCGGCTTCAGCACCCTCTTCATCGTTTTCTTGGCCCAGAAGCCGTCGCATTGTTGCTATAATTTTAATTACCACTTGAGCGACTTTTGCGCCGTGAGTCAGTAAATGAGTGAATGAATGAACGAATGAATGGGTGGAGACAGCTTGATGAGTAGGACTAGAAAGCATTTGAAAACCATGGTGCACTCTCATATATGAATAAATTCCTGTTTGAGTATAATGTAAGGAGGACAGACAAAAGCCTGGCAATACAATGCGAACAATTCCCGAGCCAGCCCGCATTGTTATGGCGAAGCCACAATCAAGGCAGGAGTATCAGATGCAATATTGCGCATACGCCACGTATGGCGGCCAGTCAAAGTAATGCCATGTTAGCCAAATGTAACCCAGCATAATTGCTTATTTGCCGCTTCGGTGGCCAACTAAACCGCACTCGGCTTAGACACAGACGAACAGATAACCCATGCCCATCCGCCGAATATCGATTGTACAAAGCCAATGACCACAGCGAAACGCCCACTGTCCGTCCTTGGGTGGTGCGGTTGTTTTCGGGGGGGTGGGTGCAAATTAAACTTTCCATAGACAAGTTTTTCGCTCTGAAGAAACTTTTCCTTTGGAATATTTGAATACCCACGGAGCGATAAAATATAAGATCGGTTTTGCATTCCAAAACGTCTGCTTTAAATGGCTGTATTCCAAGCTAACTACTTTTGTTAAAACTGACTATTTTTGGCAATGAAAAACGCGAATATTTCTTGGCTTATGCTGAAAAAACTTTTTGCGGTTTTAAAGCCTTGAAGTAAAAATTGTATATGCAAAGTTTTTGTCAAGTTTTATGTTATTAGTTATGAATTCAATTGACTGAAATCGTATGAGAAAATTTTAGCGTGTATACAAGGCGTATTGAATGTTATGAATTTAAATTTCTTTAAAGTTTTTGGATTTCACGAATTTAAATGACCTGTTTCACAACAGGGCTTATGAAATAAGCTTGGCAAGCCTCTGAAGCTTATACAAGCCAATTTGTTTTGATTGAAAGAAACTTCCAATGAAAATTCTGCAGGCAATGCAAACGAAAGGTACTTTTGAAACACCATTACCATAATACTTGGGCAGCGAAAAACCAGTTAAATGGCCATCGCTTGGCATCCACTCAAAGTGCAGCAGCAACAAACGATAACAACGTTTTTAGGGCGATCATTATAATCATGCAATTGGCCCACGTTCATTCAAAGGACTGGACGCTTTTAGCCAATGGCAAGAAATATATATACAAAGAATTGTTATTACAGTTCGCAAAGTCGTTTGACTGTACAGTTGCACACACACAAAAAAAAAAAAAAAAAAAAAAAAACTCTATCATAAATTCGTGTTTTATTGACAACATTTTGCCATGTCACATCACAGAGAAAAATACCATCAAAATTTCTCATAAGAAAGGCTCACAGCTGTCATATGAAAAATGTTATGTATATTGGGTGTTTTAAATATTGTATAATATTTTTGCTTTCCAAATTTAATTTTTATATATATTTATTTATATCTATTTTCTCCTTAACATTTTCATATAAATAAGTAAGCTATTTAGGTTGACAGTTATACAATTTTGTTTCACTGCATCAATGGGCCTGGCCAGATGAGCCCGCCGGTAGTGTTTGCCAGCTAAAAAATGTATT